CTTTGCATGCCCATCTCGGGTATAAAACTAACTTGTAAGTGAGCTTTGTAAAACCACCAAAGCAACAGGATCTTTTGGAAAGTTTTGCTAGTCAAAAGCAAAAGATCTTCTGTGTTTATATTCATGACATATCAAGTTACTAAATGTTGTCCTTTGAAAGGTGCTTCATAACTTGAAGTTTATGCTGGAGTACCCAGTGGACTATGCTAGCAAGAAAAATACGCAGAATACTGTGCTTGAGGAGTTGTTAATCCTCAGCTCCATTATCATACTGCATTGAAGTAGTGCTACATTTCAAATTGCTGACACACAAGCACTGAAATCTTGCTTTAAGTATTCATAAGCACAAACTCACTTTTCTTGAAATTAGTGGCTTGACATTAGATTTCTTGTTGTGCACACTTGGTCTAAAGATGTCAAACGATGACCATGAGGTATTATGGGTGGAAAATAGGGATCCAGACAAACTGAAATCTTTCTCTTTCAAACTCCTTGCTAGGCTGAAGATGGTCATGCTGTTGCTAAGAAGCAGCTGGAGAAGGAGACACTGATGCGTGTGGACCTGGAGAATCGGTGCCAGAGCTTGCAGGAGGATCTGGATTTCAGGAAGAATGTGTTTGAGGAGGTATTTGTGACCTGGTGATCCTACCATAGTCTGCAGTTTATGTAGCTCTTATTCAGACTGACTATAAAAAATACTACCTAGTTCCAGGTTAGGGAAAATCATCATTATCCATGCTCTAAATGGACTGAGTAATAAAACAGTTAAAGGTTTTGCAGGATTCACATGGTAAATCAGTGGCAGAGCTGGCATGAGGGCTGAGTGACAGGGGTGGTGTTCCATGGGCAGGTGAGCTGGTGCAGCAGCTGAGTCCTGGGGCAAAGGAAAGTCTTGTCCCCTCTCTCTGGACCTGGTTTCATGTCCCTGCTCCTCATCTGCAGCAGCTTTGGTGGTTGCTGGACCTGACTGTAACCTGTTTTCATTGCCAAGGACACCATGCAATTACCCTGCTTTTTGCAGGGCAGTTTTCTGCCTGTGTGGTGAGTTGAGGTGGCTCATAAGGGTTCTAGTGAGGACCAGAGTTTTTGTAGAGTACATAGTGGGAATGGATAGGTGGGGTTGGGAAAGGGAAGCACCTCTCTGTACCAGATGCAAAGTGTTTATTCCATCTTGTGAAAACCACCCCTGATGTTTGATCCTGCTGCAGGCTCTTTCAGTTAGTAGCTGCTGAGCAATTGCCTCCCACCTAATTCTGCTGCATCCTTAATCTCACCTGTGCTAGTTGTGGTGTTTGGTTTGCCATGCACCAAATGATTTCAGCCTGATTAACAAATACTTGTGTTTTTTTTTGGTTGAGTTTAATTTTTGCCATCCAAGTGGCTGAGATCTGTCTTACCATGGAATGAAATGATTGCCCAGACCAGATGAAGGGAGGGGGCAGAGCTGTGTGGCTGAGGACAGGGGCTGAGCAGGGCAAAGAAAGCAGCCAGGTAGCTCCCCCTGAGATGTACTGACCATTGTCTCACTTCCATGCCCTGAAGTAGCTGGATTGCTGCACATGACTCCAAGGACAGACCCTCACCTGGTTGTCAGGCCTTTCAAATAGCTTTGCTCCTTGAGGTGTGTTACTCCAGACTAAAGACAAAGCTAGATGGGACAGCAGGAGCTAACCTTAAAGCTCTCTGTGCTGAAGTGGGGGTGTCTCTTGAGCTGTCCCTGGAGCTCTTTGATCATGTACCAATTCAACACATGGAATTAAAAAGAAATTGGTTTCCTTTAGGTTAGTGAATTCATTTGGTTCAGGGTCCAGAGCTCCACTGGAGTTAGAACACCCTGAGTGGGAGTGTGGGAGGTGAAGCCCACTCACTCTGATGTTGGACTGCTGGATCAGCTCAGCCCTTCACCTGGCACAGTGGAGTCCCCCGTGGTGCTGGTGTGGCCTCTGAGGGCTCATTGCCTGCACTTGCTGAGAGACTGCTGCTTGCTAGTTTTCTTGGCATAAAAAGTCACCCCAGAAGGGAAAGCTGCTTCCAGATTCCATCAGGGCACACTGCTCTGAGTAGAAGTTTCTAAGAGTCTGTAGATAGAGAGTATTTCTGCAAATTAACTTGCAGAGCTGCTCTCAGTTTGTGTTAGCCTGTGATGACTGCAGCTTAGGTGTGCAGAGTCAGCTTTGCTTCACTTGCCTACTGATCCTTCTCCTGCCCTGCTGCTGCCTTCAGGGCTCCTCCCAGCACCCAGAACCACTCCCTTCTTCTTTGTCCTGCCCTGAAGGCAGAAATTGTTTCTTTCTCATACCATGAGTTCAGACCTGGCCAGGTCTCTGCAGGGCTCAACGTGAATAAGTACATGAGTAAGTCTTGCCTTACCAGTTTAGCACCAGTGTTCTAGGTACAAAACTCAAAACTTCTCCCACAATGAAAATTTCTTTGTACAAACTGGCCAGAAAAAAATATATTTGTCTTAAGGATTGCCTGGGTTGCTGCTTTATTTAAATCTAATGAGTGGAAGTCTTCCAGTATATAGAAAAAGATGATCTGCATGTGCTTAAAAGTGAAATTTGAGCATGCAGTTCTCTAATGATGTTTTTTTTCAATATATGCAATGGGCACAAAAGGTGTTAATTTTTATCTGACTCCTTCTAGACTGGTATTGTAATGTAGGGGTGTGTATTGAGAAGGAAAGGGTTTGTAGTGCAGCATATGGAATCTTTCTTGTCTAAAAATTAATGTTTTCTTCTCCCTCCCCTCTCATTTTGACTTTTGTAGCATAGACTAGATACTTCAGCTGTATAAGGATATTTTGGAACCTGTTTTCACACTGGATCCCTTTTAAGAATTGTAACCTGCCAAATGAGAGCAGTGACATGCATCTCTTGGTACATGCAGCAGCTCTTGGGCTGTAAGCCTTACTGCTGCAGCTACTGTATGCTAAATAATTAGTACTGAAATAGTTAATTGTTGTCTGAATGTAATTGCTGCTACTGTTTATCCTTATGTGAATTTGTCTGCTTTTCTGTGTGTGTAGGAAATAAGGGAAACAAGAAAAAGACATGAGCATCGTTTGGTTGAGGTGGACACCAGTCGCCAGCAGGAGTATGAGTCCAAAATGCATCAGGCACTGGAGGACCTGAGAAACCAACACGATGAACAGGTCAAGCTGTACAAAATGGAGCTGGAGCAGACCTACCAGGCCAAGGTAACTACTGCTGTCCATGGCACTGTCTGACAGGAGGTCCAGCTGGTGAGAGAAAACCATTTCTGTCAACCCTACTGTCTTTAAGGAGTCAAACAATTACAGTTTTGAAGAAACTTCATCCCAGTGTTCAGATACTGCCTCTGGATTTTGTGGGCAGATGCATTTCTAGGGAGGGTATAACTGCAGATAGTAGCTAGGAATAGCTTTAGTCAAGAAAGGGCAGTTGGTGAGAAAAGATGTGGAACTGTTGGTCACTGCAGAGGGCACAGTGGGAAGAGTGGATGTCTCACAACAGCTGATGAGATGACATAACTCCTATTGTAAGGGTGTTTTCCTCATGAGAGTAGATCAGTACTTCCCCCAGAACAGAACCTTGCAATAGGTGTGGTACTTCTGCTCTCTGGAGCTCAGGGGAGGGCTGGAGAGCTTGGGGAGTGGGTGCTCTTCAGTGTGGGCTTCTGCCTGGATGCAGTGAGCTTGCAAACTGGTGTGGACATACTGGGAGTGGCTCCATGTCTGAGGGTGCTTTGCCACTTTACTCTTCCTGGGGCTGTTGCAATGTTGATACCAGCCCAAATACTCCTTTAAATGTGTGTGTAAACTGTCCCATTTCAGTGATCTAAGGTCTGGTTTGAAGAAATTACTACATGCAGTTGTGGCTTCATTGGTGGCAGGGAAACTTCAGGCAAGGTATTGGACCTTTTTGACCAGCTTTGGTGATGAAAATCATGGTATATAATTGGAAATCATAGACTGGCTTGAGTTGGAAGGGACCTGCCAAGGTCATCTAGTCCAACCCCCCTGCAGGGACAGGGACATCCCCAGCTAGAGCAGGGTGCTCAGAGCCCCGGCCAACCTCCCCTGGGATGGTGCCAGGGATGGGGCAGTGACCACCTCTGGGCAGCCTGGGACAGGGGATCACCACCCTCAGGGTCAATTTCACCTTTCTTTCTAGTCTACATCTCCATTCTCTTAGTTTAAAACCACCCCCCCTTGTCCTGTTGCAACAAACCCTGCCCAAAAGTCTGTCCCCATCTTTCTGACAGGCCCCTTTAAGTGGTGGTAGACTGCAAGAAGGTCTCCCTGGAGTCTTCTCCAGGCTGAACAAGCCCAACTGTCAGCCTGGGCTCCCAGCAGAGGGGTTCCACCCTTGTGTCATTGTTGTGGCCTCCTCTGAACCTTCTCCAGCAGGTCCCTGTCACTGCTGTGCTGAGGACCCCAGAGCTGCCCCAGCACTGCAGGGGCTCTCCCCAGAGCTGGCAGAGGGGACATGGGAACACAGGAATGATTTAGTCCAGGAGGATGCTTAAACTTCTTAGAAGTATTTGCACCCTGTTGGTTTATCTGCCTGTTATCACAGAGCAGTGGAATGCACATCACTCAAGAGAAAACCAGCAAGATGTTTTAGTGAAGCAAAATATGATTTGAGTTGAGTAAGTTTGAAATTTAACAAAGTTTTAACAGTAGTTTGACAAAGTTCAATAACTTTGGCGAGATTCACTTTAGTGATTGCTGCATGGAAAGAACATACAAAGGAAAACAGTCAGAATGATTCACACAGAGTAAGGAGGAACTCACCTGTAGAGTCTTGGTGTTCAGAGTGGATTCATGTGCTTCCTAAACTCTTTATGGAGCCTAGGTGTGGATGGATCCAATCCTAGTCACAGACTTGGTCAGTGACTTATGTTTAATGGGATTATTCACAGTTTATAATAATAATGTGTAGCTAGGTGGATTCCTAATGTTTCATAGTATTAATTCAGCATGATGACAGCTGCTTGCTGAGGATCTGTTGTGGGTAAAGGGTCTCTCTGCCTTGGTTGAGGAAGGATCTCTTCATCTGAGGTGAGGAATCTCTAACCATGAGAGGTTTCTCTGCTCCCAGGAATCTCCTGGTGTGCAGGCCAGCAGCCAGTCAGGGGAGCTCAGACTGGCCCATCCTTAGGGTGGTATGTGTAGGGTGGAGTAGTTGGCTGCTAGTCAGTAGCATAGACAGGATAGATGTCTTCACTTTGACTCTGGTATCTTGTTCTGTACTTTGGTTATCTTTCACTTCTGGCTTTTGAAACCACCTTTTGAAATATTTTGCAAGACACCTTCACTCCCTTGTACGTGAGCCAGGGTGCCAGTGTACCAGCAGGACAGAAGGCCTGTTGCTCCTTAGCCTGAACCACAGCACGGCCTGGAGTCAAGTGTCTCCATCACAACTGTGCTCATCTCGAGTTAGCAAGTCCCAGGTCACCCAGCACTGGGGCCTGGGAGGAGCAGCAGCTTTGCTACTGGTACACTTGCTGCTCACAGGCTTGTTGTGGGGTTTGTAATGCTCGTTGCCCTGCCTGAAGGAACTAGGCAGCTGCCAGTTTGCTGCTTATTAAAAATATTTGCCAGTAATTGCAGCCACTTCAAATTCCCTTGTGGTGGAGAAATTATAGTGCTGCTAACATGATTGTCCCCACCCTTTACTGAGATTTCCTTTGAATTCTTTGGTTTGATGATTTACAGTTTGAGAAACATTGATCTACAGAGATGTGACTTATTTCTCACAGCAGCAATGATATGGATGATAGATACAGAAAAAAATTATACTCTTGACATTCATGGAAGCTAAAGTGGTGATATTTTTAATGTATTTTTTAATGATATTTTTATACAGTGAGGTACTTGGATTGACTTGTCACAAGCTGAAGAAGATCCAGGGTAGAAGATGCATTTTAGAACCAAAAACAACAACAAAAAAAAAGTCTGTGAAATACAGACTTGGAGAATGAAAATGTGGCAGGATTTGAACAGGGGGATGAATGAGTTGTGCTGTGTATTACATGTTCTGCTTGTAACAGTTCTTAGAATTGGGACAGTTTAGTTCCAGGGTGGCTTCTGTGGTGTGTAGCAGAACCACTGAACTCCAGCTGCAAAGCATGAAAAAGATGCTTTTTCCAGCTGTTCACTTGGATGAAATCTATCATGTAATAGCTTTGAGCTCCCTCGTTGCTGTCAGATCTGGTTAAAATTAGCCACCAGAAGCTTGTTCATTAGTTGGTATTAACTAAAACTGAAAACTCATTGAAGGAAAAGCCAACACAACCAAAAGTCTCTGGGTCAGGATGTCATCTGGAGTCATCAAGGTGGTTCTAGTCCTTGAGAAGGCAGTGCAGGGGAACACAGAGAAGACTAACAAAGTTGAGGGTATGAAACGGGTCCTGCATGAGGAAAGTTTAGAATAAAACTTCACCTGGGAAAAGAGCTGAGAGGAGGGGAAGGTACAGTACCTGTCTGTAAAAGGATAAACAGCTGAGAATGTAAATGAGGAGTGATTTTTTATTTTTAGTAGAAACAGAGACAGTGAATGTCCAGAGGCAGATTCTGAAGAAACAAAAGGTTGTTCTTTATTAATATAAATCCAAAAAGCAGAGAGAGAAATTCCTGCCTGGAAAATCCGCTGAGAAATAGTAAACACCAAAATACTGTCTGGCTTGGGTTGCAAATGGGCAGCTGAGACTTAATACCTGTGGAATGTTTTGTTCAGCTCAGGCCCTTGGCATCAGGGGAACTGTTAGACCAGGGCATGAACCAGGAGGCTCTGACCAGTGTGACCGTGGTACGACAGATGGGCAGGTGGCACCATGCCCTGAACCTGAGTGCTTGGAAACTCAGGCTGCTGCTTTGATGGGAGGGCTGATAGACTGTTCTTCAATAGCATCAGCACATCCTGCAGGGGCAGGACTGAAAGAGGTTTTCCTGGTCCTTAGGGCATTTCCTTCATGTTGTGCAATTCTTGCTATAAACTTACGTGCTATCAATTTAAAATTATTTAAGAGTAGGTAGCTTACATTTTTTTACCAGAAGGATATTTGCAGGATCTAACTCGGTGCGAGTGACTGGTATAAAATCTGCCTTCCAGCTGGAGAATGCCAAGCTGTCCTCTGACCAGAATGACAAAGCTGCTGGTGCAGCCCGGGAGGAGCTGAAGGAGGCTCGCATGAGGATAGAGACCCTCACCTACCAGCTCTCTGCCCTTCAGAAGCAGGTAAAGGCACTGAGCTTGCTGCCAGCTCCAGCACAGAGCACGCTGTCGTTTGCATATATTAGCATTTCTGTCCCTTCAAGTTTTCTGAGCTTTTACAGAGAGAAATCCTCATTCTTTTGAGTGGGTGGTGAATTTTTAGCTTTTTTCCTGTACCCACAGGGATGCTGAGGGGGGTTTTGTGTTGTGCTCCCTCCCTAGGCCAGTGCAGCGGAAGATCGCATTCGGGAGCTGGAGGAAATGATGGCTGGGGAGCGGGAGAAGTTCAGGAAGATGCTGGATGCAAAGGAGAGGGAAATGACAGACATGAGGGACCAGATGCAGCAGCAGCTCACAGAGTACCAGGAACTGCTCGATGTGAAACTGGCACTGGACATGGAGATCAGCGCGTACCGAAAACTGCTGGAAGGGGAAGAGGAAAGGTAGGGACAGATTCCACACACTGTTCTTGGGACTAGCAAGTATTCTTGTCGTTTCTTAAGGCTTTTTTTTTTTTAACCATTTGAGCAGGAACACCCAGATTTTCACTGAGGTCATACTGGCTTTATACCACAGTGTGTTGGATGGAACACATACATTGGAACACTTGAAGACCACCTTTATTTTATTTGGGGGTTTATTATAGTAGATTTTCATTGAGGTCATAGTGGCTTTATACCACAGTGTGGATGGAACACATACATTGGAACACTTGAAGACCACCTTTATTTTATTTGGGGGTTTATTATAGTCTTGGAGTATATCATTCTATGCCTGACATTCATATATTTTTCTTTAGGTGTTTGTAGTTTTGCATTTTCTTGTTTCTAAATTGTGGCCCAAGAATAGCATGTTTAGCAGTAGATATGCTGGAGGGGAGGGTTAGATGGCCTGTGTTGCTCTCACTAGCACTGCTTTCCATGTCACATAATCACACTACCAAACACTCAGGGATGGGTGCTCCCCCTGCCCTCCTGACACTGCCAGGCTGCTCTCAGCCCTGGGGCGAGTGAGTCAGGTCACCGCGCCTGTTGTAGCGTTGTTGCTTTGCGTGTGGTCCCCCAGACACCCTAATTACAACGCTCTCTTCCTGGTGCCAAGGTTGAAGCTGTCCCCCAGCCCCTCCTCGCGGGTGACGGTGTCCCGGGCCACCTCCAGCAGCAGCAGCAGCAGCACCTCGCTCGT